GCTCTTGGACCAAGTTCATGGAGACAAGGCTCGCCTGACAGACAAGTACAGACAACGAGTCTTGTAGATTTGGCGCAGCGATGCCCACAGCTAGCTGCCTTTGGGGCGGAGATGTTCCTGGCTACATCATTTGTGGACTGCGTGATCACATTTGACCCCGTCTCGGTGCTTCTGAATGTATTTCATTTGACAGATCGATGAGCAACGGAACCAAGACGCCGTTGCCACCATGACCATCACCCTGAAAACTGGATTTGCCCAGGGCCATCTTGCATTACTGCCTTGAGTGAAATCTTCTGGTGGCCAGATTGGGAGTTGTCAAACAAAGGTCCCTTTTTTGGGACCCTTGTGCCGCCAACCCAGAGGGAGTACCAAAATGGCCCAATAGTTGTGCCAATCCCTCAGATTCTGAGAGTTCATACCCTGCCGCAACCCTTGCAGAGCTACAAGAGCGGCGTGAGCAGTGAGACCACGAAGCCGGTGTGGGTGCGGAAACTCAGCCTTTGAGATGATCATGAAAGCAAGATTGCTGCATTGGACTTGTTTTAAGGGGAGCCCAAAGGACACAACCTCAGAGTCCCCCCCTCCCCCCATTTTGAGACGTACCCACGTGGGAACGTCATTTTGTACTCTACTTTTGCAGGAGCTACTAGCTAGGGCTGTTTAACCCAAGGGTCTAGACAATTCAACACGCATCCAGCGAGGCCTACGAACAAAAGGAAGCTCACCAGGTCAAACGAGCCCACACTTCCTTTTCAGGTTGCTGCGCTGTCATACAAATTGCACGAATATTATCATTGGCCGACTTTTGCAAGGTATCCCCACGGCCTGTTCTTGAAATGGCTTCCTGCTAACAATCTGAAGGTGAATCAGGCAGGTGTCCTAAAGTTTAGATGTTTTGTTTTTCAGACATGTCTAACAGCAAGCATGGTCTTGTGCGGGTGATGCAGTCAGACTAGGTTGGATAGGAAGGGCCTCGCCTTTCCTCAAATTGATTGTTGCCAAAGTGAGACAGAAGGTGTATTTATAAACACGGACCCCTTCTTTTTGGGCCCTCTCAACCACAAGTAGCCACGAAAATGGTCGTTTGACCCAGCTTTGTACATCCTCATCATTCTCATTCGGGCTTGGATAACTGCTTGATCCTAAAGTTGGGCTCCTTACGCATCATAGCCCCACGCCATGTCTCTTGATTCCCTCCTCAACAAGTGCTACTGTGGACGGACGAAATCTTGCATCAGTTGGTAGGTCATTCATCCAATGATTTACATTTTATCTATCCCAAGCGGTGCGAAATGGATTTCGTCACTTTCTCTTTGGTGCATGTTGCTTGGATGTTAGGATTTTAACTTTTTCCAATTAATTGGTTTTCCATTAAACTTCTAAAAGTTAAATTTTTAGCAGGGAAGCCGAAAGCAACCGAGTCTCTACGAGGCCATGTCTCTCTTCCCGGAGGTCGAGCTTCGACCCCGACGCCAGGAGTTCTTCATCGAGGACACCATGCTGGTGGACGGCACTCACGGGCCTCCGAGGCTTCGGCTTCACTCGCGACAGAGGGAGGGCTGGAAGTCTTGGATCTACCCTCCCTCCCACTAACACGGCACCTGTGGGAGGGTATCTGAAAGATCAAATTCCTCTTGGAGGCACCTCCTGTCAGATGCCATGCCAGTGGGAGAGAGGGCAAGTGTCCGTCAAGTCCCGTTCTGTGGGAGCTTCCTTGGCCCAGGTCCAGCGCCTCCCTGTCTCGAAAGACATGTGTTTGGACTCCCTCCGGTGCGCAAAGGGCTGAACATGTGAGGCAGACAAGCGGCCTTGACTGCAAACTTGAGCATTGCGGGATCGCAGCTCATTTCGGGAGGGAAAAACCTGTGAGGGATGCCAACACGATTTCAGTTGGAGGACATTTGCCCGGGAAAGATCCAACAAGGCTAGCATTGCCTTGGCAAGCGATTGCTTTCATCTCAAGATCTGACATTGCCTAGTCAAAGTGAGAAATTGGGTTGCCGCATGGTTGAACTTGACTACTCACTAGGCAATCCTTAGGCAACCCTTGGGCAACCAGGCAACCCTCCAGTAGGCAGCCCCAATGGATGTCTTTGTGCCACGATGTGGGCAATCAGCTGGCACCACAATCCTGGCAGCGGCGTTGGGCCGGCAAGTCTTGTGAAGGGATTCGAGAAAGAGCCTTCACGACTCTCATCGGCAGGACTCTGTCAACGTGAGGCCTTTTTTCAGAAGGCTTACTCCCATTTTGGAGGCATCTCCCAGAGAAACCCAATCTTCCAGAAATTTGTCACAGGTTTCATCATTTGAACCCTGCGACCACCCCTAAGGGTACACCGCACATATCTCCTGTTGGGGGATTCCCCTTTGCGGGATCCATCTATCTCAATTTGAGGTGCCAAAATACGGGGGATCGACTGAACCGTTGGTTTCCTTTCTCCCTGAACCGACCCCAGAATGGGGGACGCAACACTGAGCACTGGGCATCAATTTGGGGACTCTACACTGGGCGCAGGGAAGCTCCTTGCGAGGTTGGAAATTCAGCTCTATGGCCAGCGGGTGCTTCTGGACGTCTTGGATAGGCGGGAGCGAGCTTTTGATGCGCTTGACGTTTACAACAGTGGTTTTTTTTGGGGTTTACCAATTTTGAAGGGGCATGGGTGTCAAGGGCTAAAAGAGGAACACCGCCATTTTGGGGTTTCCGCCTGAACATCTTGTTGAGAATGGCAGAAGGAATCACCCGGTGGCAACCCCCAATCTGACAGGAGATTGCGGCCTTTTGGCGCGCCAACAATCCTGAAGCCTTTGGTTGAAGCTGGGACTCCCGCAGATGTCCAGCTGTTGACATGCTGGACTTTGCCCGAAACAACCGGCATGGTTGTTGCAGCAGGGCACTTGATCCATGGGCGACGGGAGATGTTCCGATCATGGTTCGTCCCGTTCATGTCATGGTGTGGTTTGAGGCTTTTGGCTTTGCAGACTCCTGAGGGCATCGGTGTCAAAATTGATTGCGGAGAAAATATCCTGTACAGCACCAACTTTCCTGGATCCTCGCTTTTCGGCTCGATGCAACAGAACACTTGGGTGATTTTTCTTTGTTGTTTTCAATAGGAGAGGCACGGGCTGCGCGACCTCCGTTGGCCAATTTGGCATGTGGGGCTCTCTAAATGTCAACCAGGGGAGATCCCCGTTGGCCACGTGAGCCACCTGCTCAAAACCGATTCGGGGATGGAAGAAGGCGAGGAAGGGACAAGCCCAACCATACATAGCCGAAGAATGCCGCCTTCATTCTTGAAGCATGGTTCTGGGTCGACCACTTTACTACGTTTTGAGCAAGTGACTCATGTGCCACAGAAAGGAGCTCAAAAGTGTCCCCTGCTCAGACTTCAACCGCAGGTACTTGGGACAGGCTGTCCTCAAGCTGAGCAACACGGCGCGCCGAGTCGATCGGACATTCGAGTGGCCAAGTTTGCTGACACCCTTTCACATGTCGTGAATAGGCACTGGAAATTGCTCTTCAAAGAAAAACCATCGGGGCCTGTTCCCTTTGACATGTGAAGAACCTGCACTGGAATTTGCTCCTCAAAAAAAAAACAGGGATTGTTTCCAGGGTTGATGTTTTTGCCCTCCTTCAATATTTTGATCGAGGGACGGTTTCCAGGGAAGAGTTCGTCTCTTTGGGCGCGACGAAGGCGGCTTGGCCGAGTCCGTTTTGCTCAGTTCTGTGCGCGAAATGGGGCCGGAAATCGGCCGAAGCGCGTGGTGCCTTTTCTTGGTTTCTTTTGGAACGGGTACCCGTTCCGTTTCACCTTGCGCAAAGCAGGGAAACCAACAGGCGCCACTCGTATTCTTGGGTTCCCCGCTACGTGGACGTGCCCAGGGCTCCACTTTTTGACTGCCCCAAGATAGGCTTAAGTTAAACCCAAGGTTTCTCCTGGAGGAATGAACCACTGGGTTTAAGTCTATACTTGGGTAGTCAAAACGACCCACCCCTGGGTTTAAGGCACTACTTGGGTAGTCCAAAAGTGGAAAGCCCTGGACGTGGCGCCGCTCGCCCGGCCGCCAGCCCACGCTGGGCCCCGTGAAGACGTCGCTGCCGGTGGCGCTGAACTCTCTCAGCGCCATGCGGCTCCCTCGGAGGTATGGACCCCCACTGTGGATGTAGTGTTTGGTGGTAGTTTCCATTTAACCCACCAAAAGTTAGTCACTTCTAGTGGGGGATCTGAGGGCAGCCCAGATTTTCAGGGTACTCAATGTTCCCCAGAGGGGCACTTGGCCAAACTGGAAAACCATAATTTTTGGGGTACCCATGCTCTTGGCCAAACGGGTGATTTGGTGCTACTGTGGATGGTTGCGAAATCCGTTTCGCACCACTTGGAAATCATGGTTGAAACCATACCGTTTGTTGGTGTTTACGCTGGGGAATCATCAGAAACCAGGGTTTCTGAACAGTGGTGCGAAATGGATTTCGTCCATCCACAGTAGGTCCCACAGCTCGGTGCCCGTTCTCACCGTTTCTTTTTGAGACCGGGTGTTGGTGGGGATGTGATTTTAACATGAAAATGCTACATGATTTGCGAAGGAAGAAATCGCGAGGTCCCCCCAGCTAGGTGCCCGTTCTGACCGTTTCTTTTTTGTAGACTACAGAAAAAATCGGGTACCAACTCCAACCGGTTTTGGGAGGTTTCCCATTTGTCCGCTTTGGGCGTGCGGGATGATGGGATGATTTCGGCATGATGTTGTGCCATCACCCGAAGGTACAGGTGAAAAATGAGTTTTAGGGGACCTCAAGAGTGGTTGGACATGAATCCCCGCGATGTCCAGTTCGGGTCCAAAGCTTCACTCCGTCACCAGGGTTGTGGGAAATGATCACTTCTGTGATACAACAAAAAGGGCTTCCCAAAGACTAACACCCCATATACAGCCGGAGATTCCCTTGTATCACAGAAGTGGGAATAAACCCCTTGATTCCACAACCCTGCTCCGTCCCGTCTTAGGAACGACAAGCTTGTGGCGCAGTTCGGGCCAGGGAGCCCAGCGAGCTTGCAGATCGGTGGATCGGTGTGTGGTAGAACTTGTCCAACCGGAATGGCAGCTGCAGGGATCTCAATGGCGATCTCTTTCTACAGGAAAGATGGCGCATCTTAGGTGGGCAAGTCAAGGGGACTCAACCAATATGTGGACACTGTGCCATCTACTTTCAGTCTCTGGGATCAGCCAAGCCGGCACCGGGCCCGAGGGTGCTGCGCAAGCCCCGGCTCAACGTGGTTTGGCAGGCGGGCTTTGTGGGGACCGGATGTAGTTCTCTCGAAGCTTGCTGTGAGGTTCCGCACACAAAAGTCACGGCCCGAAAGCAGTGAAAGTTTGGCGTTTGGAGGGTTTTGCTTTGAAATGCATGTTCAGCATGGGGCGCTCATGCAGTACCCAGGTGAAGTCTTGAGCCAACGGTCCAGTGCCCAAGTCTGCCCTGCCCGGCAAGCTGTGACGGTTACAAAGAGCTTCGAAGACTTCTGTTCAGTGCAAGTCGATGGCCGGGTGCGTAGAGACCGCAGGTCTGCGACGACAAGCAGCCGGTGCCAGATCTCATCCGCATTGCCGAGATGGACGAGGTGGGCCACAGCCAGTGAGAACGAACCTTCCTGGCATACACAGACTGGAACACATGTGAATTCAGACAAACAAACTCACCTAGCAGCTTCCCTGTTCCGCCTTTCAAACTGAAGCCCTGTGACGCTTTGCGCTGATCCCTCCTGCTAGCTTTGCTTGCTCGGCACGTCAAAAAAAAGCATGCTCCAAACGCAGGGCTCGCTCGCCTGCTCCCTAAGCATCATCAGACCCGGTCAAGATCTCCATTGGAGGGGTTTGGTTTTGGGGCTGAATCCTTCTTTTCCCCTCCCCCCAATAAATCGCGTCGAGCGGACACCGTGCGCTATCGCAAAGGCAAAGGCCAAGGGTTTGGTTTCCTCAGAAAGGCCCGGGCCTCGCTCGCATTTCTCGCATCTCCCACATCAGGCGGCCGCAGACAAGAGGAGCTACCAGTGCCACTTGAAGCTGGTGTCGGTGAAGCTGAGGAGGCGGGTTCTGGGGAGCCCTCGTTGGCTTCACGAACAAGTCCACGTGGCCTTGGTACAGCGGGCCAGGAGGATGTGTTTGATTCGAGAAACAGATCCTCATAGCGGTATCCAGGTATGAAAACACCTTCTGACATACTTGCTTGTTCAGAGCTTTGGCTTGCACGAAGTTGCCCGATGCCAACGTCACAATGCTGAGCTTCTCGGCGAACCCCGAAAATGATCTTCACACCGAGCCAAGCGACTGAACCTCACTTAGCTTGTGACCCCCAAAAATCAAACGGCCCCAACTTGAGACCCTGTGGAAAGGCGAGACTCGTTTTCCACCAAACTACAAGTAGCTTTTGCTTGGGGCAGAAAAACCACCGGCTGTCTCTCCATACCAAAGGAAAGGCCCCTGGGCCTTGGAAACCTTCGATCCGCGCGGATCGAGCGAGCGGAGCGCCCAGGGCCACGGAGGGCCCGCGGCGCCTGGCGGTGAGCCTCCGGCTCATCCAGCCGGACGGCGAGGCGTGCGGTGCCGACCTGACTAAAATTGGCGGTGCTCGGTTTGCGGACTCTTTGCTTTCCCCCCGAAAAATGGGGCGGAAGTTTGGCGGTTTGGGTCTCCTCAAATTTCTAAAAAACATCCCAGGAATGGGCCTGCCAGGTTCAGAAGCCCCTGATTTTGTGGTCGCATATTTTGCAGCCTTGGGGAGGTCGCGAGATTTTTATGGCCGGTTTATACACCCGTCATCTCCAGTGGCACATCCCCATGAAATTGGAGCTCCTCATATTTGGAGCAGTGTGGTGCCTTTCCCGAGTCACCAGACCGGGTGCAACCAGGTCCATCCGGATGGATCGTAGGCTCGCTCCTGCGGTATGTAGAGCCCGCGGACGCGAAATTCTTCTTCTGGCAGCTTGGAAGGGCCCGATCTTCGTGGCTTAGGCTCTGTCAACATGATGGTCCACCGGAGCTTTCTTGAAAATGGCAATCACGACCATGTCAGAAGGGCCGACATGCATCTTTGGCACTGAGACTCGCATACATGAGGCAGGGGATGTGTGTCCTCCATCATCCAAGCCTTGAGCCCAATGTCAAAGTCATGTAGTTGCTCCCTTTTGGGGTGGCTCAGAAGACAGACGGGCAAGACCTTTTTGAAGAGTACCATTTTTTGGAGGTTGATGACAGGAATGCCATTAGTGGTTCTGCGCTTCCAGGGAAGCAGAGCCAAAGTCAGAGAAAGAACTGGTGATGATGGGGGTGTCGACCACTGTCGTCAACAAAGACTGTCAAACGCCGAACGAGTCATGTCGGGCTCTAAACGTGCACTTCCGTAATTCGTTCTGTGAAGAATGTTGATGCCGTCGAATGACTTTGATAGCTCGAGTTTGCAACCACTGACATTTGCTTTCTCCACGAGAAGTGACAAAACCACACACAATTCTGCCTCCTGCACCGTGCCGCATGTGCCTGTGCCTTGAATGCGCCAAGCTTCCAGCATTTCGTGAAAGCATACTTTCTTCGCTGGGAAGATCTGGGCAAGGGCTTCATTGAGTCGCCTGACCTTTCGCAATGATGAGGTGAGTTCCCTTAGAGCACGGCACGTGAAAGTGGCAAACAGTACAGTACATTTTCTCAATCCATGGATATACAACAGCTACATGATGTTGCTATTGCTATTTAGTACCAAGCTCGTGTACCGCACTGGGGCAGTTTCATCCTATATATATATACACATCTCTCTCATATATATATATATACACATTATATATATATATATAAACATGATTTGGCGGGTGGCGCAAGCCTTTTGGTTGGACGCGTGTCCGGCTATCGTGTCCCATGTGACCTCGACACGGGTTCAGGTGAGCAAAGTCTCGCCGGTGCAGAACTCCCCGCAGGCCGAAGGTTCGCCATGGAGTCTGTGTGGTGCGCGTCACAAAAGAGCCCAACAGCCCAACAGCCCAACAGCCCAACAGACAGCCCAACAGCCCAACAGCCCAACGACCCAACAGTCAACAACCAACAAGACAACAGCCCAATGGCATGGGTTTGGCTTCTGGTGACCTTGGCTTGTCGCCAACATCAGCGGTTTGGCTTCAAATTGAGGGTTTCTCAATATGGAAAGGAGCAGCTTTTGATGGGTATTCACAGGGATCAATCGGAAGCCCCTTGCCATTTTAGGGTGGCGATTCCGGTTTTGAGAGATTGCTGGGATCCATGCCTCCCGCGTTTCTCTCGAAACAATTGGACTCTAGTTTGGTGAAGCAAACGGGGGGGGCATCCGGGATGATGGGTGAGGGCCCCCAGAGGTGGTGCTTGCGTTTGGGTATCCTCAACATTTTGAAGAGCCACATCTTTGGAAAGGGCCTGAAGAATGACCTCTCTAGGGGTACCTTCCCCATTCTGTCCAGGGATCCTTCTTTGAGAAAACCCCAGAAACCCAGGGAAAAGGCAGGTCTTTGAACAGAACGATGGTTGAACAAAATGGGGAGTCAACCCCTAGAACCTCGGCGACCGGCCTTCTGATGGAGGCCTTCTGCTGGCAGATGAGCAAAGGGGTCCGATGAAACTTGACAGAACTTCTGTGTGGAACCCACCTTACCAGGCGGCCATCAGTTTTTTGAGCCATCAATGGCTTCGCATGCTGTTCTTTAGTGGTGTGGGTTGGTGTTCCCCTTGTGCAGCCCTTAGGAAGCGACAAGCCCAAAACACCCACACTACCCCAACCACCCCAACCTCACATCACCCCAAACCAACCTCTATTGATCAATCTAAATGCCGGCCGGGACTCACAAGTGAGTTCTTGCTTCATGCACTCCGAAGAGCGCATCCAGAAGCCTCGGAAGCTCTGAGATGGGAAGCATGAACAGCGCTTCCCCAACAAGTATCGCAGCTGTCCTCAACTTTTTTTGCGGCATGAAACCCGGTTTCCCAAGCAAAGCTTAGCATAGGAGAAGCGCCCCGTCTGGACAAAAGCATGTGGCCCCCCGTTTCAGCGCCGCGCGGACTTGCCCCCGGATTTCCCGCCCAAACTTCCAACTTGGGAGGTTTGGACGTGCCCGGAGAACAAGATCCCGGATCTGCTGGCGGAGCAAGTCCCTCACGGGTGAGAGGGGGGCAGCCACCGAAAACTGGCGTGGCCCAAAGCCTGCTTTTCGGAGGTCCTGGGGTGACAGGGCCTTTTGTGGGTCCATCCGGGTTTTCGGTTTCCATTTGAATCCAAGCAGACCGATGTGAAAGAAAGACACACCCTGAATGCAGGAAGCAACCCTGAACCGCTTGACCAATCCCCACCGCCAACCCTGCCTCCGCCTCCTTTCGGCATTCTTGACAAGTGCCAAAACAGGGAGCGGCCTGGGTTCCTTGTGTTGGGCACTGTTGAGCATCACCTGAAACACCCGTTGGCCATGTGAGCAGGTGGTTCCGCTGCGGTTTCAGAAAGGGTTTCCAACGAAGCATTCAGAATCAGGATAACCATTGGTAGAACCACCCATCAACAGCTTCGGGCGGTGCTCCATTGAGAGTGACAAGCCATTGGGAACCGTGGAGAGCGAAAAAAAAGCTGCGGCAGAAGCAGGAAGCATGGTGTTTCCATGTCCAGCGATGCCCATACATGTTCTTGAAGCAAGCGAGCAGAGAATTCCGTGTTTGTCATGGAAGGAGAGCATCCGGCAATGTGTAGTCCTTAGGACTCTTGGGAGACCACCATGGTGTGGCGCCCATCAGCAGCACGTCTTTTTCTTCTTCTTTTGTTTCTCCTTTTTGTTCTCCTTTTTTGTTTTTTTATTCTTCTTCCTCTTCTTCCTCTTCTTCTTTTCCTTCTTTTTAACAAAGGACTTTTCTGGCAGAAGCCTCCAGACAGGTTCCATGTTCGCCGGAGGAATGGGTACTATGTGCCTTGCCTTTTGTGAGCTGCCCAGGGGGATGCCGATGGACCCGGACGAGGAGTCTCTGATAAGCCTCTGAGCTTGGCCCAAGCTTGGCTTATCAGCTTATCAGTTGGCCGGTGGAAACCGGCGGAAAGGAAACCCACTAGAAATTTGGGTGTGGTGGTCAAAACCCGTTAAACGGGATCCCATTTTGGTTGGGATGGGTGAGAATTCACCACCTATTTTGGGCTTTAGTAAACTGGGGATTGGGATGTTCGCCTGGGGGTACGATTTGGATTTTGATCCATGGCCAAATGGGTGTGGTGGTCCAAAATAGGGTCACCCCAACATGGGTTGCCCTGGTAAATGGAAACAAAGACTAAACCCAGCGGTCCATTTCCTGGTGGTTTAATTTTGACCCATGAATGACAGCGGATGCTGAGAGATTTGATTGCATACAGATGAATCCTTGTTCCGGAGCGAACCTGACCAATATGCTTGGCCAATCCAATCTCGATTTGAAGACGGTCATGATCTCAGTTCAATTTTGGATGGTTCTGACCTTGAAGAACAAATTGCCCACGTCCACACATTTGCTCACTCTTCCGATCAACTCTTTCAGCTAATTGCTATGATTTTACAGTAGCTCCAAAACGCCCCTAAACACATGTCGGGTGCTATCCTAGCTTTTTGGGTGTCGCCATCCTGACAGCTTCTTTTGCTACAGGGCTCCCTCTTCGTTCCCAGGGGTGGAGCCATTGAACCCAAGACTCGGGCCGTGGGTTTTTTCAGCGGAGGAGTGCAACACGGCAGTCTGGCGGGAGGCCGGCGGCTGGGCCGGTGACTGGGGAATTGGGGGAGAAACGGACGGCGGATGCAGGCAATCTCTTCCCTTGGTTCAGGAAAACCAACTAGAAGGGATACAGGGGGAACCAGGGATACGGGAGGATTCCCCCTAAATGCACCTTGACTAAGTTTGATATGGGAAATGGCGCCAAGGGAATCCCCCCATATCCCTGCTCCCTCCCTGCTTCCTGGCGAGTGGCCCTGCATCGGTTTGCACTGGTGCAGCCATGGCGTTGATCGATTTGCGTCGCCTGACAGCACGGGGTTGCACAATTGTGTGGTGAAAAGTTGTGTTTGTCATCATGGTTGGCTCAGCAAGTCTAGTTCCCGTATCCCCTAATCCGGAGAGTCTTTCCCCCGTTTCAAGTGGTTGAGATGAATCGTTGCCGTCCTTCTCCGAACCCAGCAATCCCAGCCTTGCCGCTCTGAAAAGGGGTCGTCCGATGAACATGCGATCAGCTCTGCTCGGCCGCCTTGGTTTGTTTATATGGGCCAATACGCCCCCGAAAACTAGAGTTCGCAGGCGAACCCCCCGGGTACAAGCTGCCAAGTGGGGTTTTCGCCTTTACAACGCCCCGCCCCCCCAACTTGTTGTTCACCCCCCCTCCCCCGAACAACAACTCCCCCCCCTATTGTATTGTTGTTCGAGCCTCCCCCCCCCGCCCCCCCCTTCACTACCTCCACTACCCGCCTGCGAGCGCCCTTCGACAAGTGCGGCTCTCGAGAGCCCCGCGCACACTGCGCGCGCGCGCGCGAGGACAACAAGATGGGCTGGCAGATGCCCACCTGGGCGCTGCGGGAGAGCCACCTGCAGCTGCTGCCCCTCGGCTGTTGAGGGGCCGAAAGTTGAGTCGGTTGGGATCATTTTCTCCCAAAATCCCCGGAAGTACAGGTGGGTTGTATGGAACACCTTCCTCCAAATCCCTGGAAGTAGAGTTTTCCCGAAAGCATTGCGAAGGGTTCTTCTGCTGGGTTCACTTGAGTTGTTCTCATGAGAGTCATTACAAGGTGTCATTGCAAGGAATCATCATCATGAAAGTCATTGCAAGGAGTCATTGCAAGGAGTCATTGCAAGGAGTCATTGCAAGGAGTCATTGCAAGGAGTCATTGCAAGGAGTCATTGCAAGGAGTCATTGCAAGGAGTCATGAGAGTCATTGCAAGTTGCAAGGAGCCAAGTGCATGGAGTCAAGCGCAAGTTGCAAGTGCACGGAGTTAAGTGCAAGTTGCAAGTGCAAGGAGCCATTCTCATTTCTCATTTGCGGACTTCAAGAGGTTCTATAGCCTCGTGCCGAAACGCGTTGCAAGCCGTAAGGCCCGGACGGGGTCCTTACCTAGCCTGTCGATTTTCAACCTCTGTTTGTAAGGCTGAAGCAAAAGAAAGAATCATCATCCCCCGTGCTCCCAGAAAAGCCTTCGGCCTGGGGCAAACGATGGGATGTCGAATGCAACAAATTAAAATGAGCCGTGAAGGAAGCAGCAAAGGACTTGCAAAGTGGGCCAGGGTGTTCCTTGAAACAAGGTTCCAGGGTTACATCTCGAAGGCAGTCGGCAAGCATTGGGAGGTCCTTGGCAACAAGGAAAGCAGGTTCAAGCCTTTCTGAACCAGAAACTCCCAGCTTTAAGCAAAGCTTCACGTAACCTGGAAGACTGAGCAACCACCGCACACAGGGCAGCTCCCACACTGAGTGCAAGTTGCAAGTGCATGGAGTCAAGTGCAAGTTGCAAGTGCAGGTTGCAAGTGCAAGGAGTCAAGTGCAAGTGCAAGTGCAAGGAGTCAAGTGCAAGGAGTCAAGTGCAAGTTGCAAGCGCAAGGAGTTAAAAACTCTTCTTAGGGCGGCGGCGTAGTGCCGACGACACTACACGAAAGACCCTCTGCGGGGATTGGCGTGGTCGAGGTGCAAAAACTCGAGGTTTTTTGCGATTTTGTTTGGGCCCGCGCGACCCTCTGCGGGGATCGGCGTGGTCGAGTTGCAAAAACTCAAGGTTTTTTGCGATTTCTGCGGTGCTCGCGCGACCCTCTTTGCGGGGATCGGCGTGGTCGAGGTGCAAGACCTAGGCGTTGGGCCGACCTCGCTTGCGATGTTATGCTTTCGGGCCAACCGCTTCGCGTTGCCCGCCTTGGCCAGGCCAGCCTTGCCCCAGAAACTGGAGCAATATTGGAAACCGCCGGCAGGGCAGGGCTAGGCTGGTCGGAGAAGCTGGAGGCAGCTGGAGCATGGATTTGGGTGTAGGGGTGGATGAGGGGTGGATAGTCAAAAAGACTGAGCAGGCTAGGCGGGTGAGGCTGGTGCTGGGAATGTGACTGAGAGAGATAGCAATCCGCCGAACAAAACAGGGCACCCCAAAGAGTGGAAACAGCCAGCAGGGCTGGTGAGCGGCCTTGACCAGGCTTTCTGCTGGGCAAGAAGCCGATGACATGGTTGAGAAGGGGCCATCTTACAAGGGAAGGGGCCTCTTTGAGGCTTGGCTGAGATGGACTGGAGGCAGCTACCAGTTGGGGATGGGGCTTGCTTAAAGGGGTCTGGAGGGATCTGACCGCTTCCTAGCCGTGGAAGCCGAGGCGAGGTTTATCTTCTCGGAGTTTACCAAGATTTCTTTCTTGCAGGGATCTGACCGCTCCCCTGCCCTGGGCCTTCCAGGTTCGCTTCAGGCGGCCTGGAAGAAGCTGGCGCAGGGGTGTTGGCTGGGCTGCGCGACATGGGGGGGGGGGGGGGTTGAAGGATGTTTTGGCGGATGAAAGGTTCTGAAGGGGTCTGACCGCTTCCCGGCCCTGGGGGCCGAGGCGAATATAGCATCATATCTCATCATATAATATGATATCATATGATATGATATGATATCATATCATGTCATATCCTACCGTTTTCATGTTTATGATCATACACGTTACAAGCATGCCAGAACACGAGTGTAAGTGTGTGAGTGTGAGTGTGAGAGTGTGTGTGTGTGTGTGTCTGAGTTTCGGGGGCTGTGTGACTCTTGCTGGATCAGAGTGATTTACGTCAAGGCGTTGAAGGTATCGGGGTGTGCGCAGCATGAATAGACCTGTGGCGCTGAAGGGATATCAGCTTGACTGCGTGGCTTGCTCCAGCTCACTCCAGTTGCATGAGAATATCGGTGATGCCAAGCTTTTGGTGGCGGGCAAATGCAACATGCGACTTCCCTCAGTGACCGTGAGAAATGCATTTCCTCTGCATTTTTCCTGGCCAAAGAGCGACCAGGAAGACAGGGCTCATCATTTTGACTGTTTTTGGATATATATTTTTGTACCTACCACTTGGGGGTGACATACTGAGGCGAGTAAGGCATGTCTTTTGGTCAAGTCTCCGGCTTACCAGTTTACCTCTGAGGAGTTACAACATCGAGGCGCAGCTCCTCCTGTACGGTGGCGCCTGGGCAAAAAAACCACGGGCATGTCACATGTAAAACCTGGCCCACGGATTTCTCGTGCGCCACCAACGAAAAAGGCTCGTTCTTTCGTGGTCAAAGCGACATCCTGTGTCTCAGATCACATTCCAATACACAAAAGTCCGGGTTGTTGCTTGCAAACACGACCTTTTTCAATTTTGCAGCGCACCTGCATCACTTCCTGCCGTTAGTTTGCAAATCGGCGTATGCCGCGGTTCCTATGCCTTTCATGGTCCATGCCGGGCGGTGGCTTGTGTTTCTAACAAACAGCGGCCGCCGATGGTTTGACTTCCTCGTAGTTGCAACAGATGGGCGTCGGCTTGGCTACTTGTGGAAGGCATCCCGTTTCCCCCAAGATCGCGATTTCACGCACTGTCCAATTTTGGTCAGTGAAATCAAGCTTTAGGCGTAAAGAACGTTGTGTTGTCTGCTACGGCGTGGGAAAGGGTGGGGGATTTTGGAACTCTGAAGTGTGCTATTCAGCCTCTTCCAAAGTTTGCCCCAAGATGGCATTTCAACTCTGAAGTTGCAATAGAAGAGCCACCAGTCTGTCAACCATCAACCAGTACTGGAGGCTCGAAACTTTGTGTCCCCTGATACTGCTTTTGAAACAGGCCAAGGAGGGAGCCACTCATTAGAAACTCGTGTCCCAGGCAGGTTGTGCGGGAAAGGTGTATGCGTAAAGAATCCCTCTGTGCGAGGAACCATTCTGGTGTTTCAGACGTCACATCGCCGATTGCCTTCACTAGTAACAACTGGTGAGAGTTTGCGGCACGTGGCGTGTTTGCACTCGCGGAGCAGGTTGACACATCGATGTCATGATATGTCATGCATTTCCTTCTGAGACCCATTTCGAGCGTGTGAGAATTGGCAGAGAAAAGATTGCTCGCTCTGGAAATGAAGCTGCTTTCAGTCAGGCCCGCTCTGATGTTCAGGCTCAATAATTTGGTCAGCCAGATCATCCCAATTTCTCCCAATTTTTCAGTTTGGCCACTTGTAAGATGTCTCCTTCACAGCTGTTGGTTGAACTTCAGGCTTTGTGTGTCTTGCTCCTGGCTTGTAGGTGGACTCCAGGCCAAAGGTTTTTTTCCCTCGGCGCCACGCCCAGGCCAGCCCACCCACATAAAGGCGCCCGGTTTGTTTGCGGCGTCCCTCGCCGAATTTCCACTTTTGTCATTGGCCTTTGGAGCACCCGTAGGGTCTCCTTCGGATTTCCAGCTGCTGGTGGTCACAGGCCCATTTGTTGGCTGTGTTCAAAGCGGCAAGAAACACATCTTGAATTGGGATCAATGCCAGTTCTCTTGCTAGTTGTTGACCACACAGGCAAAACTACGAATCAGAGATGCATGCTATTTGCGCTTTGTCATCTGCTACTGCTGCGGAAGGCCCCTGTATTGGAAGTGCTCCGCAAATCCTTGCCGTCGCAACACTGGCGCTCTGAGGCTTTTCAGAGTCTTTGCTTTGTTTGATGTAGGGTTCTGGAAGTCATGATCATGAATCATGGCTATTGATCTAGCTGACCCAAAGGGAGGAGGTGTGAAGACCAAAACGAGAGCGACATGTTGCGAGCACCGCGCAAGCCAAGCGAAATATGTTACACGGCTTACCACCCGAAATGCTGCGGCCACGTTGCCCCCCAGAATCCCCGCAGGGTCGACTCTGCTATCATCATGCGCCTGCGGGACATCGGCTGTGGCTGGCTCTTCGCCTAAAGTGCCCCCAACCGCCTGGTGCACGGAAATGCCCAAGAGTTGCCTACAGCTCAAAGGGCAACTACCCGGGCACCATTTTTTTTTCTCCAAGGAGGTGGATGAGGGGCATCTGAAACCATCCTGTCCACTTCCGCGCTTGTTTCTTAAGGGCGCGAGAGGGCTCCGTTGCGCAGGCGGAGCCGAAGAAGTTTCGCTTCTGGAAGCCGTCCAATCCGTTGGGTCAGCAGGCGAGGATGGGAGGCTGAAGAGGGGAGCAGTCGCGTCACGAAATGTGGCCTTCGCCCTGTTCAAGTTAGGAGCACAAACTTTGAGCTCATAGTGAGACTATGCCGGGGAAAAATACAAAGCGCAGTGTCAGCTCCCAGAGGGTGTTAAGAGGTGCTCTTCATCTTTCACCTTATAGTCCTTTGGGCACTGTCGCGCGCGGGCTTTGAAGATGTGGTTTCTGTCGTCATATTCACCAGGCACCTCTTTGTCATTCGCTTGTTTGGGGGTTGATTTACTGGTTTCTTTGTCATTTCCCTCGAGAGACCCTCGTTCCGTGTAGGAGGGCAGTGAAAGACACAAACCTCACGCCGTTTTTTTTTTTTTCAGATGGCCCACATTTTCCTCCGATTTTGGCGTAGTCCACCTCTTGAAATATGCCATTTGGGTTTGCCTCCAGTTGTTGGGAGCCCCGCCCTTCCCATTTTGGGCGGTTCTCCTTTCGGCTGCTCACGGAAAATGGCCAACCCCCCCCCCCCCCCCCCCCCCCCCCCGCCCTCCCCTGCCCTCCCCCGCCCTCCCCCGCCCCCCGCCCTCCCCCGCCCTCCCCCGCCCTCCCCCGCCCTCCCCCGCCCTCCCCCGCCCTCCCCCGCCCTCCCCCGCCCTCCCCCGCCCATGTTGAGCGCTTTTTTGGTTTGGTTTTGGCTGTTCTCCGCGGAGAAGGGTCTCAGTTGTTCAGTGGCACCAATTCTTTTTCCCTTTTTGGTTGGCTGCACTAAAAATGGTCCAAGCCCCAAAAAGGGCTTGCCTTTTTTTTCTCAGGGGCACTGAACTGAGGGGTGCGTCAAGCACTGGTGATCCCAGGAGAAGCCCGCGAAGCTAGGCGTTTGGCGCGACTCCCTAGGTGTGGATTTGGGCAGAGAGAGGGGGGGGAGGTGGAGCCGGGTGAAGTCTTTGTGGAAGTTGAGAGGGCGAATGTCTGAAGACGTGGGAACCACCTGGAAAAGTGATTGGCGGACATGATTCACCCCACCTAATCATGGGTGTGTGTGTGTGTGTGTGTGTTTTCTTCAAGGAAAGGGTACCGGTTTTATGTGGGTTCGAAGGGGAACCAAAGGAGCTTCGCCATGTTTTTGTGGCGATGAGTGTTGAACACCCAAATGGTGATTGGTGGACACGATTCCCCACCTCATGATGGGAGTGTGTGTACTTTCTTGAGGGTAAGGGTACCGTTTTTTTTTGGGTGTGTTGGTTCGAAGGGGAACCAAAAGGAGCATCACCATTTTTTTGGGGGTGCGGCTATTTGGACGCATGCCCATTAGCTCATGTTGCCAAGTTCTGGTAAGCAGGTACCGCCACATATGACCCGTTGTTTGCAATGCACTCAGACCTTCACTTAGACAATGGCAGATGTACCAAGGATTACACTCAGTATGGTTGGGATGTCCACCTGCAAGCAAAGTTCGCTTGCCTGTGCCGCAACGGATGCCCCGACGGTTTTTTGTTTGAGCATGCCATTCCGGCAAAGTTCAGATTCCCGAGCTACTGAAGGAAAAACTGGCAGTTGGTGCTGAGTTTCTGAAGGACCACTGTGTGGAAAAATCTTGGACAGGGACTGGAACTCAACTATCGAGCCTGACTAGTTCAAAGCGCCCACACGCGCACACACACCACACCAATCAGTAGACAGGGCTCCAAAAAAAAGGATACATTTTGCCCATCTGAAACATGGCTTTTTCCACAAAATACAGGGAAACCACCATTTACAAGGCAATGTTCAGGTGTATAATGTAAGGATCCCTGGTAGATATCAGTCATTGGTGACCTTTTCTTGGGCCCAATGCAACTCGCAACTCCTGTTGATGGATCAATCAGTGTGCAAGTCCTCCATAATGATTTACGGTCGGGCTTGGGAATTTGTGTCAATCACACATCTCCAAATCCACCAACATGTGTTCTTCTCAAAATAGGGTGCCCCAAAATGGCTTGCTTCCTGTTGGCTTCCCTCAAACACCATCCAAAAGGGGGGGCCAAGCACCATGTTTGGACCCCACACAAGCGCCAAAAGCCTGCAGGAGACCTGCTGGATTCCATCGAGAATGCGGACCAGGGGTGCGCCACACAGATGTGGGGGGCGGGTGGTGGGGGGGGGGGGCGGTCTCAAAGGACCGCAGATGAGCCACGTGCTCAACGTGGGTGGATGAAGGTTAGGGACACTCCCGGCCAAACTCGGTGCGACTGCCTTTGTATCTTTTATTGGATTGAATGGATCATGTGAATATACCAGGTTTTTATTGTGACTCAGATGTTGATTCTACGCTCTGGTTGGGCATTTGAGCCGGCAGTCAAGCGCCTCTCAGCTTGAGGAAAGGGCAACCTTGGGGCTTATGAGGGGAGGGCTTCTTGCGCCAACGGATATGCACAGTTGTGCCAAACCAAGGCGAGTAGTGCCGCGCCTTTTCCTTGAAAAGTTCAAAGGCTGTACGGTGATTGGCCCATCCAGTACAACTGCGTCCGTGGAACAAGGCTGCTTTGACTCCAGGTTGCAAGCTCGCTTATCCGAACCAGGGATCCGGTCGCTGTCTTTCTTGCGTGCACCATTTGGCCCCTGTGCATGAAGCTTCTTTGGCATTCCTCATGCAAAGAGCGGACATTACACATGTAATGTGGTAAGGAGGTCTGTAAGCGTCACCTAAACGAGGTAGAATGCTCCATGATGACCAATGAACCAGCTGGTGCATTCTCGCAGTTACTTCGCGACTCTCCTGATGTTCCTAAGCAAACATATCCTCGCATACGCACACAATTCACCCGAACTGACCCCAATTCTCCCCCCAACCGCCATGCTCCCATTTTCCTTCTGCCCCGCCAAACAAAACAAATCGGGAGACCACCACCAAGACGCGGCATGGCTTTGGACCAATGCCCCGGCCAGGATCGTCTGCGAGGCCGTGGTGGGCTCCTCTAAAGAGGGCTCCGAAGTGGCCACGCTGCGCATGGAGCGGGGGGCCCTGGGCGAGGGAGGCGACCGCTGGGCTGCGCGAGAAGCTGGGCTTCCAGTGCCAGTGGCACGTCGGTTTTTCTTCATTTTGCGGTTGGTTCCCACGGCCACGGGGCTGAGTTTAAGGAGAAAAGAACCAAAAGTCGATCAAGTGAGGCACACGGAAGCTCCACATACCCCTTGCGAGAGATTGATTTCACCTGCATATTGTGGATGGGTCACGTTGAGGAACACGGGAGGCTCCACAATTTTAGCGTGACCGATAGGAGATGCAACAACAATTCAACTGCATGTGAGTGGATGACTTCTGTTTTTGCATCTCGGTTTTTTCAGGGCAAAACAAGGTTTGCGGCAGTTGCTTGCTTCCGCGAGTCGTGTGGATAAGGAGCAGTCATAGAGATGGCGCAGGTCACCTTTGTTTCCACTCCTTGGTAGGTGGCCTTGCCTTCGGACGCCTCTGCTCGGTGTTCGCTGTCCGGAGAGTCTGCCCCAACGATGGATCGCAAGCTGTGCAGGTTAGACCTGTTTCACCGCTGGCTTCTAGAAGATATGAAAAAAGGTATCTTGCTTCAAGCAGGGTCTCCTTCCACAAAATGATCATTTCCATTTGAATGCGTGCAGTGGACGACTTTTGATTCAAGCTGCTCCTTTCCTTTCTGGGAGGCTGGCAGAATCCTCTCATGGGTATGGATCAAAATTAAGCCACCAGGAAATGGACCGCAGGTTTTAGTTGTTGGTTCTGTTTGCCAGGGCAACCCATTTTGGGCACCTATTTTTGACCCACAGCCTCATCAGGATCGACGTGTCTGCCACGCGGGCTCACCGCATCCCCCGCGAGCTGGCCTGCAAAGAAGTGGACGGCTGGCCGCTGGAGAAGGCACGGGTTTGGGTGCGTGCGCAGGACCTGGCTCAACTAGGTCCCCCAGTAGTGCCCATGTTAACCAGCCCTTTGACCAACTTGTTTGGTTGGGAGGGTTCCCCTACTAAAATAGACTCAGAAAAAGGGTACCCATATTCTAACCTCTCTACTGGAGGATCTAGTCAAAGAGGGGAGAGTTGAAGACCTGTCTCAAAGAGTTTGATGTTCTTTCTTGTAACCCGGGGTGTATTTCATGGATTGCTGTCGTTTCCATTCTTTCTTTGCCCCCTGATATTAGATGCAAGGAATGTCTTCCGCAGGTGCGACTTCAAAACCCGCGTTTGAAGCCGAGTGGAGCGCAGGCGCCGCTGCGCCGAGGGGCGCCGGCCAAGGAGTTGGGCGGGGGTTGGGGTAGGGCGTGATGGTTTGGTTGGATGTAGGGGTGGTTGTCTTTAGGTATATATATATATATATAGATAGATTTATGCGGGTGGTTTGGGAGACTATGACATTATGCACGGCCGGTTTACCCCCATGCTCCCCCTGGTGGACATGATGTACCGCGTACAAAAATGTCCAATCCTTAGCGAGATCGGACTGGAGGAAGCCTCAGGCAACCTTCTGATTCAGCTCACGCCCAGAAAGCACTAGCAACAACTTCCCCTCGACGTTAGGGGGTCATCGGATTGGGCGAAACCTGCCACGCGCCGTCAGGAGATCTTGCAAAACAAGGTGCAGTACTTTGTCACTGCGCCTGGGCGGAAGCTAGCCGCGAGAAGCTTTCGGATCCGAAACGGCGGGCGGTTCTGGCCAAGACGTGGACACCTCTGGCAGCCATGTGCACGCTGAATGCATCTCACAATCACGGGGTCTAAATGATTGCCGTCGTAATAGTTGAACAATACTTCCTGTATATATATGTATCTACATATCTATATATATGTAGAGCAAGAGAGAGAGAGAGAGAGAGAGAGAGAGAGAGAGAGGGAGAGCCATGCGTTTCTTTTGAGAGGACAGATGACTTATACAGCAATTTTGCACGTGCTCTCTCTGTCTTTCTCTCTCTGTCTCGGGCTTGTTGCGCCTCTCTCTCGCTCTCTCTCACTCTCTCTCTCCCTCTCTCTCTCTCTCCCTCTGTTTCCCTCTGTTTCCCTCCCTCTGTTTCCCTCTGTTTCCCTCTGTTTCCCTCTGTTTCCCTCTGTTTCCCTCTGTTTCCCTCCCTCTGTTTCCCTCTGTTTCCCTCTGTTTCCCTCTGTTTCCCTCTGTTTCCCTCTGTTTCCCTCTGTTTCCCTCGTTTCCCTCTGTGTCCCTCTGAATCCCTCTGTTTCCCTCTGTTTCCCTCTGTGTCTCTCTCTTTCTTCTCTTTCTCTCCCTCTCGTTGCTTTGTAATGAACACTGGAAATGTGAACCAGACTGATTATTGGTTTGAGCTCCAGTCGGATTCCAAAACCACTTGGTGGAAAGAGATCGGATGGCCGGGCAGCGAGTTGTACTGCACGAATACCAGATCAAGCTATACCGGTTCAGGCGTCTTGTGCTTCCTTATTTGCTCTGGATATCGTCAATTGGCCAGTCCTCCTTTCTGACCTTACTTTTTTGTGTGTTTGCGGCCCCGGTTTTGCTCATGTAAAAGATTCCATGCGTGGCACTTGTCCCGAACAGTCCGAGCGTTTTCTGCATGAACTCCCATCTCGAGGTGCAGATAAGTCACCGGCAGGGTCAAAACCGATGGGATTTTATTTTGGGGTAGGTGCACCACCCATTTTAGTCTATTTTAGTGGGGATTGGGATGTTCACTGGGGGTACGGGCTTTTGACCCATGGCCAAATGAGTTCTCCAGAGGATGCGAGGATCCACCCAGCCATTGCGAGTTCTTAAATTCCCCCACTCTTCTGAGTACATCCGGTTCCTTAGCTTTCAAACGCCTTTTAGTGTTTAGTGGTTGGATTTCCAACGAAAAGTTCGTCACTTTTAGCGGGGGATCTGACAGCCCGGGTTGGTCTCCCTGGCGTGCACTTTTTGAGGATTCGGAGGAAAACTCCTCCGGCGGATTCCAGGGCCCCCCTCTGCTGCAGGTCATGGTCGACGGCCTTCCGGGCCACGAGCTGCCGGGGACCAGAGACATCACGTCACCTCTCTGAGATTGGGTCGCAACCTGGGAGGAATTATTTTTGATTTTCAGGTTGTGAGCTTCACTTTCATGGAATTCAATGGCGTGTTTAGACACAAATTTTAACAC